GAGTGGGGAGTTACATCGTAGGTTTTTGATGGCTGTGACCATGTTGTCGTCTACGGTTGAGGCTTCGGTCATCATCATAGTAAACAGTTCTTTTCCGTCTACGGTGATTTTGGGGATGTTGCCCACGTCTGCCACATATTGAATTTAAACTGGTCAGCAAGAACTTTGATTTTTGTCACCACGTCCATGAGAGACAGGAAAGGTAACATACCTATTCCTTTTGATTCAGCCCACGCAGCATACGCATCCCTGTTTCCAACCCCATCGGATAAGTCCGCTCCAAACGCAGGGAAAAAATCTTCTAACGCTAGTTCCCCGCGTTCCAATCTTTGGAAGGCTCCGTTTTCGCCTTTTGCTTGACTAAACACCCGTTTAGATACATCAAGTTTTCGTCACCATTGTCCGGAAGTGTGATTGTCAAACCGTTGGGTGGATACGTACATGACGATGTTGAGGTAATCCCTCGGCAACCCGTGTTTTTGTTCGTACTTGCGGACGCCTTCGAGAGGGCTGTGGACCACGACGCCGCCGATGTCGAAGATGACGGCTTTGGGGGGGCTCATTTTCCGTGGGGCCATTAGGCGTGCGTATGAATGGTCTTCTGAGTCTGAATGGTCTTGTGAGTGAAAGGGGGAAGTGGGAAGGCAGGCAGAGGCCTTTTTATACGCACGCGTCGAAGTCCGAATGCGGCTGAGGTTGACCCTGGCGGTTGATTTGAACGGCCGGCTCAAGCAAAAGAAGTCTAAACTGCGCGTTCACACGATGTCCTCGACAACGAACATTTCACGCAGAGCTGAAGAGAACCTGGCAACAGAGAACCTGCTATGGACTGGAATACGGAAGGTGCGCTTGATATAAACCAAGGGGGACCCTGGTAGAGCGGGTCATCCGCAACGTACTGTCTGCTGAACGTTGTCGCGTACTATTTGAATGTAGTTCATGAGCAATCCCTTCCACGCCGAAACAAACAAAAATGGAATCATCAATTTGGGAACGGCAGAGAATAAGATCATGGCGGAAGTCATGCTAGATAAGGTAAGTTTGAACCATTCGTCCTTTTCCTTCTTCATTCTTGGCCCCATCTGACCTTACTCCAAAAGCTCAATTCCCTTAGCCAACCCTTCACGCTGGACACCCTCCAATACGGCAACATGTACGGTTCCCACCCACTGCGCGCCGCCATCGCTGCGTTGATTACAAAGGGATTTCACACGGTTGAGCCTGTGGAAGCTGAACATGTTTTTGTGGTGAACGGTGCGGGTTCGGCGGTGAACAATCTGACGATGGTGCTTTGTGATGAGGGTGAAGCCGTTATGATTCCGGGTGAGCATCGTGGACGCGTGTGGGGGACATGGCGTTGGTCCAGCATTCAATGGCTGACTGTTGTGGCACGACGCCTTCGGCTTCGTTTACAGCTCCCTTCTACGGAGGTTTCAACCCAGGTGGGATTCTTGATTTGAAGCAAATCGGTAATGCTTTCTCCGTTCACTGATGGATTTTACATAGACGCGAAAAACGCCGCAAGAGCCACCATCGTCCCCGTTCCCTCCTCATCAGAAGACCCTGATTCTTTGCCGCCAGTCTCGGCATTCCGTACCGCTCTCGCAAAAGCCCGATCCGAAAACATTACCGTCCGCGCCATCATCCTCTGCTCCCCCAATAACCCAACAGGTCGCACGGTCCCACGCGCGTTACTGAGAAGCTATATCGAGTTTGCCAATGAGGAAGGGTTGCATGTCGTCTCGGACGAAGTGTACGGGCTGAGCGTGTACCGAGATGGTTCAGCGGAAGGACTGGAACCTTTTGAGAGCGTGTTGGCTATACGAGATTTGCCGGACCCTGAAAGAACGCATGTGGTGTGGAGCTTTTCAAAGGACTTTGGCATGTCTGGCATGAGATCTGCTGCTATCATGTCAGTATTCTTTCTTGAGATTCCTGGATTCCTCTCGAACATAAGCCTGACTTGCATTGGTTACTCAGAACTCGAAGTACCCGCGTCTTCAACGCGCTGAAACCTCTGGCTCCTTTCACCGCCATACCTCGGGTCATCGAAGAAGCACTCACATCCATGCTCACCGACGAACATTTTGTCACATCCTACAAGGCTGAAAACAGCAAACGATTGTCCGCCTGCTACGACTACGTCACATCCCTCTTGCAATCCAACGGTATCCCGTTCAAACCTGCCAACGCGGCCTTTTTTGTTTGGATCGATTTACGGCGTTGGACGGATGCGATCGTGCCAGCTTCTACGGATTCCGTGCAACCTACGGGCCGCGCTAAGGAGTTGGCATTGTTTGAGCGGTTGATTGATGCCGGTTTGTACCTTGCCCCCGGCGCGGCGTTTGAGAGTCCCGAGAGTGGGTGGTTCAGGGTTGTGTTTGCTGCTGACCGAAACGTCGTGGGGTTGGCGATTGAGCGGTTGGTGAAGGTTTTGAAGGACGTTGAGAATGCAGGTTTGTGACGTGCGGACCGACGGTCATTGAAACCTTACAGTAGCACAGATGGGGGAGCTAGGAACGGTGATGAGGATGATTTAGTGTTTCAAATGAACAGTGGATTTAGCCATCTGGCAAGAGCATCACTTGTTTTTCGCATGTCATTATTGGATCTCCTCTGTAGTTGATGAAACTGGTTTTACTTGCTTGGATCCTCGCAACGTTTGGATACCTAAACTGTGTCCAATATGCTTCAAGACCACATCTACCCTCGGGTCCAATGGTTAGAAGGCTCCGTCCGCTGGAAAACCCGAGGTCCGGCACCACTTTGCACTAAATTAAATTTGAGTTCTCTCGTTATCCGAGCAAGGTCGGTGATGTTTGAGGCAAAGCGACTTGGAACATCGATGGCGGAGGTGGCTCGGCCAATCAGACGGCGATCGCCGCAAGCCACCTCCTGAGGTGCTTGGAGTCTCGCGTGGTCTCGCCCATAGATATTTAAGACTCTTCCTCGCTCAAAAAGCTACCTACCGTAACCTACTTGCAAATTTATTATATAATGGCTGCCATTGTCAAGCAAACATTGTTACATCCCGAGGGACCGTATGTGTCCCGCTTGGTTTACGGTAAGGCACCCGACATTCCGCCATTTTGGGGATTCCCGAGATACAAAGGTACTTACTCGGGACCATTTATGCAGGAACTTGGCGACTACTTGACGTGGTCGACGACGCCTTGAAAACGCCCGCGGCCATCTTGTCACGGATCCGCCGCTGTGTGGAGCTGGGTATCACCACCTTTGGTACGTTCTTACCACATCCACCAATCCCATCACTATTCCAGCACAACCGACCATCTGACGGGGTTTGAAATAAACCAGACTGCGCCGACATTTACGGATGGCCGCATGACCACGCCTCCGAGCGCCTGTTTGGTGACGCGCTCAGGCTCGACCCTACCCTCCGCAAGCAGATTCAAATCATCAGCAAGACGGGCATTCGGCTGGACACTCCCGTTAAACATTACGATTTGAGCTCCGAGTACATCGTTCGCAGGGTTAAGGAGAGTTTGGAAGCACTCGGGACGGATTATTTGGATGTGTTGTTGATACATCGGCCGAGTCCTATGATGAATGCTCAAGAAGTGGGTTTTGTATGATATTGCAAAACCGTGTAGGGTAACTTACTGATACCCGGCATACCAAAAAGGTCGCTGACGCCTTCATGAGCCTCCACACATCCGGCACCGTACGCCATTTCGGCGTCTCCAATTTTGCACCCTCGCAAATCGACCTCCTCCAATCCCGCCTCCCGTTCCCGCTCGTCACAAATCAAATTGAAATCAACCCGCTGCGACTGGATCCGTTCCATGATGGGACGCTGGATCATGCTCAGCGGCTCAAAATGTCGCCCACGGCGTGGTCGCCGCTTGCAGGAGGTGCATTCTTCCGTGACGAGGAGAGTCCGCGGGTGGAAAAAGTGAAGAGCGTGTTGGAGTCCGTTGCGAAGGAATTGGGAGAGGACGTCACTGTTGATCAGGTAAATCACAACAAACCAGGCGTTGCGCTGTGATTATCATGTATTAAGTGGTCTTTTCCTCTTATTGAAGGTCATGTACGCCTGGCTATTGGCGCACCCATCGAACATTGTGGTGGTATTGGGTACAAACAGTACCCCTCGCATCGAACAAGCAGCTAAAGCGACTGCACTGACGTTGGCGACGATGCAGTGGTTTGCGATTCTGGAGGCATCTGCAGGACAGCCGGTCCCGTAGGTAAAAGTTTGGGATACGTCCGTTGGGGCGGTTGCTGCCCGAAGAGACGCTGGACATTGCAATGTAAAATAATATCATGAAAACACCATGAACGTGTGTCTTAGAAAGAAACTTTGGTTTAGTGAGCGTTGACTTTTCCAGCAAAGTTTTCCGTGGTCACGAAAGCACAATACTGCCGTGTCTCTCAAAGGTAGCATGGAACGTTCCCTCTGGGAGCAGAATCAATAGCCAAGGGCATGGCGACCGCGGGCTTTCTTTTTGGCCTTTCAGAACATGTTCATCACAACACAACCTACGAAAGAGGATAAAATGCATGGGCCTGATGGGATGAAATTCCTTTTTTCGAGCCAACAAGCGAGTTTGGATACCGTTGATGCACAACTCTATCTTTGGATGGGATGAGGCAGTAGAAGGGCATGAAAGGATGGTCAGACGTTGCATCCAATCCATGCGCGATATGGCGAAAGGTTGGCGCCAATGATGACGCCTTCGCCAGTTGCAACCTTTGGAGAAATTATAGTGGCTTGTCTCCTCTTTTGAACGTCTGAAAGGCCTGGTCGGGGGTGGAGAAGAAGGTACAAAATCTTCATTCTTTCCTTCGCAGACCATTGTTGGGCCACGGTACCAGAGAAACACGCCATTCGCAATCCTCCTTCTGTGCCCATATATTGGTATATACGCAGTTATTGTCCGTATGAAAGGTCTCAGGCTTCGTCGTCATCGAATATGATCTTTGATTCACCTATGGATTAGTTTATACTAGGTCAGGGAACGCAGCGCCCGTCGTACGGTTGCATAGTGTAGTGGTTAGCACACCAGACTTTGACGTCCCTGATAACCCCGCACGGGACGAAGGAATCTGGTAACCCGAGTTCGAATCTCGGTGCGACCTATTGGGTTCTGCAGAGGTCTCTGCTAGATACAAGTAGTTTTGTTTCATGTCATCCGCTGACGTTTTGGTTCATCCGAGAGCTTTTTCAAGGGTATTTTGAGTTCTCACCGTCCGTACCCTCTACGGTCTTGCACATTGATCAAGAGCCAACGGGCAATGCTACGGTCTTGCACATTGATCAAGAGCCAACGGGCAATGCTACGGTCTTGCACATTGATCAAGAGCCAACGGGCAATGCACTCAAGCAGCCCAACCTAAGAACACACACAGTATCCGTTAAATAGCAGTGAGCTTGTTTGACAAAACGGTGCGAAGATGGGATTTCTGGTGCAAAAGACCGCGCGTCGTGGTGATGGCCTCGTTGCACCAGGGATCTCAGGGATCCCATAGACTGGTTGGCACCACCCGACCAACGTCTCTCTTGGACTGCCTTTGCTTTTGAATAACCTCGTCGCTGTCTGAGGGACCTGAGACTGGTTGAGATGGTCTATCAACAGCCGGAAAGAAGGGATAACGTTCTTCTGGACCACTGTTGTGGCAATGTTTGATAAGATGTTGCGGGGGAAGGGCTGGCGACAGATGACGCAGCGGAATGCGGTCTTTGCATCGCCAAGCTCGGTTTCGAACGTTTTCTTGCATTCAGCATGGTACCGCGAAAGGCACGGAGCACAGGTGGCGTGTCCGCATGTAGCCACAGCAGCGAGGGTCAGCGTCTCAAACTCGTTCCAGCCTGTCTGGCAGATGGAGCAGCAGTTCTCGCGGATTTTGGCGTTGATTGCTACTTGTGCCTCAATAAGCTGATCCGATGCAAGAACCAGTACGGAAGGTTCTTGCGGTTTGACGCTTTTGCTCTTCTTGTTTTTCTTTTGCTTCCTCCGCTGACTGCGTTGTTGTCCACCACCTTCACCATGTCCCACATCCCAGCCTCTCGCCTGCATCGCCTTTGCCTTCGTTTCCAAGTCCTGCAGCTCCTGCCATTGCGCCTCGAACTCCTGGGCGGTAAAGATTCCCGTATGCAGCACAAACCCACAATCTTCCAGCGCGTGGTCCCAATACCTCTGGTTCTTCAATCTCTTTGCCAGAACCAGATTGCAACCGATCCGACGTCGCAGCACTTGCACCACCTTCGTACGCTCGGATTTGTCATTATATAACCTTCCGGGCAGTAACAAATAGTGGCAATCATCAAGTCGAAGCGGTCGTGGATCGTGCAAGACTGCGTAAATTTGATCCATGGCGCGGGTAAGACACCGGAGTGCTGCACGATGGTTATTTCGATTAAGGAGTCGATCAGCCTGAGCAATCAGCTGTTCATGCGGAATGACGGTATATCCGCTCCCATTTCTTGTGGACGTCAACAAAGCAGACAGGCCCCTTCCACCATCCCCGTCAGCGTCGGCGATAAACTGCTCCAAATCTCGCGCCTCAAGTGTGTTTGAGTGAATGGTGTGAATGGTGAGCTGATCCCCAACTCTGGACGTCGAATAGTGTACGTCTTAAGTCCCTTCTGTTTCTCCAGTTCCACGGCCTTTTCACGCTCTCTCAAAGCTGCCACAACCGGCTTCGAAAGGTTCCAACTCCCCGTCCGCTCCGCTTCAGCCCCCAGGTGGAGCAGCAACGGTGACACCCAACCGCGATCCGCAGCATGGTCCAGCCAATGCCACCTCTCCTGGACAATCTTTTCCTGCTCCTGTGTCCGTTTGCACGGAACAGTTCCGTTCAGCTCAGGCGCCAACAAGCTGTACTGACAAACGTATGCCATAGCAGTGAATGCCTCTGGCAACCCGGCGCGCGCAGCCTTGTGATACAGGTCGATTGCATGTCCTGGTTCCCGCTCGACTCCCTTGAACCCAAACCAGTAGATATCCGCCAAAGCCAGCGTGGCGGCAGGGTCTCTTTTCTCTTCCTTTTGTTTGAGCTCCTTCACGGAATGCTTCAAGATGCAGCCGGCGATGAACAGCACGGTCTGGATCACAAATAGGCAAGTCGTCGCTCTCATATACGTTTTTGCGTACTTCCAGTTCTTTGGTGATATTGTAGATGGCAAAGTCCGGTACGTCCTTTTCGGGGAAGAGCGATTTCAGCTGGCTCCTAAGGTTCGCAAAACTATAGATAGGTGTGCTAAAACTCGGAGACTGAAGCTGGGCCATTGTGCTGATGTTTCGGAGTGCAGACATCAGGTAGGCGGTTTGATTGTTCCCTCGGGCGTTTCTGTTTTGTTACTGTATCTACGTGCAACGAAGTAGGGCTGAAAGTAAGAGTACCTGAGCTGGGCAACCGTGGGAAGATGGGAAGATGGGTAAGATGAAAGGCGGCCGGCGGACGAAGTTTTCGCACGGTCGTGAACTACAAGCAAACGTGATCCGCACGTGACCACATCAGGGTGCTTGGACTGTCCGAGATGCTGGACATTGCAAGTGTAAAATGGGTCTCCCCTGCTCGCGCCGAAGGAACGAATCTCCCCAACGTCGTCAAACCATTTGATCAAAAGATCAGTATCGCGATCGCCTGCAGCGGCGTACCCAAGGTGTAATGTCGCTCGTAGGGAGGAGCACGGTCTCCGGTATTTGCCTCATACGGTCCCCCATAATACGCATTACCTCTCCTTACCCGCTCCGGCACTCCCCGTCATTCGCCCGTATTCCTTCCACCAGAACTCCTCAACCTATCTCTCAGATTTCACTCCACAACAACACTAACTCCAGCAGGTCCACGCCTGTCTCCTCCAACGCTATTTCGCAGTGTATCGATCTCACCGCGCTCATGGCAGCAAACGCGAGGGACCTCGTCGGATACACACACTTCGCCCGAGAACCCCCTCCCGAAACCCGTGAAAACGGAGGAAGAGGTTAAAGATTCATTATTCTCGTCGAAAAAGGATCTCGGAAACATAAGAGATGCCAGTAGCGTGCCGACGGGACAACATTTGCGGCGATTGGCGGCGTTGACGCGTCCACCGTTGCTTGGTGCAGAAGCAAGGAGTGACGGGCGAGCAGCCAGAAATTGTATTGACGAAATGATACAAAGAACAGAGCCACGACCAAAGTTTCTCGCACGGTCGAATCATCCAGCAAACACGCAAGCTCCACAACGCAAGATCCACTATCACATCCCCACACACAACCAGCGCAACGCAGGAGGGTGAAGTCCCCGCGTAGCCGACCCTCGTGCAACACAACCAACGGTAAGAGGCGAACTCGCAAACGCGATGAAGGTGAAGGAAGTGAATACATTCGATACGAACGTAACGTTGACATAGGCAACGTTGCTCGGGAGACCCAAGGTTTGTGGGCAACGAGCAGGAATTTTGAAGGACTGGTGGCGCGACCCGGCGCACTGTGGCTTGACACATAAGGGGTATCCAGAGCTCAAACATGGAGGAGCAAGTTGAGCGTAAACTTTATCATGTTTTGGTGTAAATACGGAAGTGATGAAGTTCATTGGCACAGTTTGGGTTGCGAAATGAGACATGGGATATGAAAGAGTAGAGCCCGCTATATTTTCGGAAGGAGCATTGGCGGAGTGGTGAAGGCGACTGATGCGGGTTTTTACCTTGGTCACGACGAAGCTGGTCTTTCCTTCTGGCTTGATAGAGATGTACATCTGCGGGTGGAACTCTTTTGCTACTTTTTTAATCATATTTCCTTTCCGTGGAACACTCTCTTATGTCCATTTTCTCTTTTAAACTTCTTTGAAAAAGTCTACTCAAATTTGGTTGGGGTATTCAAATGCGAATTTTTTAGTTTTTTGCGGTAACTTTTCTGGTGGTCTTATGTAAGTTAGACGAAGGGCTCAGATGCATCCTTGCGTTGTGTCAGCTTGTAGCCTTTGTCTGTGGGTGGACGTCCTTGAAGGATCATTGGAACAGATTTATTTGCCACTTTCTAAAGGCCCACACCGATAATCATGAAAACAGTGTGGATACGCGTCGCATCGCCCTCCTTGAGGGTTTTACAGTAGGGTTCTCAGAACCGCTACATACGGCAATGCACTCAATCAGACTGACCCAAAATCACAATATCCGTTAAATAGCAATGAACTCTTTTGGCAAATAAAAAAGTATACCCAGTCGCACCCCCGACAGTCCAACACGTTCCCTGTCCCCACCACTTCTCCATCACCGATTCCCTCCCCAAGCTTTTTCTGAAGTGTTTTTGGCCAATACCACACCATCTGTAAGACGCTCTTGCAATCCCACACGTCGACCCTCCCTACCTATCCTCCTTCCCACTCATCAAATGCGGTCCCCTCCACTCTTACTACTTAGTATCTGCAGCCGACGCAATCACCACAGGTTCTCCAGTTGTCACGATCTCTTGCTGCGTGACCTACTTGTGTATAAATGTGTCATTATTTGCATCAATCATACAGATCAGGGAGAATGTATTTTTTAACTTACCGTCTTGGAGCCGTCAGGCCCAGTGTGTGTCGTGGTGATGATCTTTTTGATGACAGTGGTGGTGGCGGTGATCTTCTGTGATGCCACATGGCCTGTAGCCTTAGAAGCCGGGGCAAGCGACGACAACGCGGGAGGGGCGGCCGACAGCTGCGGAATTGGGGTGCCCGGTTTGGTGGTAGATGGGGTG